AAGCTTGGATGCTGCTTGCCATATACAAAGGTGAAGCATAAATTTCGCAGAGCAGTATACATAACACAGATGCATGAAATATATATCGTTTGTACAAGAAGTTAAACTGCAAGATAATATGCCACACCACAAGTACCCAATCTCTGACACAGTTAGTGGTACTTTTCCTAAATCTCTTCATTTATCACTTCCTACATTCTTCATCATCACTGCTGCAGTAATGACTTTAACAACTGTAAGGTTTCTGAGTCTGCACATTCAACAAATAGCAAAAATCTCACCATTTGATGAAATAATATATCTTCATTACCACATTGCTGCTCCAGGCAATGTTGTAGAAACAAGTTGCGTTCCTGAAGTATTCTAATCCAAAGAACAATAATATATTCTGTTTTTTAATTCATTTCAGCTATTTCAGTTATACTTGCTCCACGTGAATGATATTTGATTAATACTACAGATGAAAGCACATCTTTCTTTAATTATGTAAAGCCTATGAAATGCAGGCATTATCTTGATCACAGGATGAGGCAAGTCTTACCACAACAGGATATGTGAACCTCACCCCAAAGCCTGTCATGTGACCGAGGAACTTCACATACATACATATAAACACACACTTTTGTGGCTTTTTTTTGCTGAAACACCATTTTCAGGGTTTGATCATCAAACTGAAAGTTGTTGTTAAACACCACAATGACACCCACTCAGATGAGACATCTCTTTCATTCTAGCCTCCTGTATGAGCTCCATCAGTCACTTGAAAACAGCAGGTACATTTCACAAAATCTCGGCATCTTCCATTATTATTCACTCTCACTTCTGGAGATCACCAAACACTCTCTTAAGATTGTAAAGTTATTCTACCGATATAAAATAGCTTGAAAAGTCCTGACTACCCGCTGGCAATCAATACATAATACCATAATACCTGATTGTGCTTGAGAGCTGAGCAGTTTCAATTTGATAGACATTGTCACCACAAATGAGTTTTAGCAACTGTACCCAGCACGATCATTTTCCCCTTTTCTTGGAATTTGTTTGACGTGACCAACTTGAATCTTATTCCAATAGAAATTACTTCTCTCAAGGACAAGATGTTCATGATATTATTTGTTACAATATAAACTCACCCAGCTCCTCGATAAAATTGATTTATGGCATACTAGAATACACCTTTCTCTGTAGGTGTCATAGTTTTCATGGAGTCTACACTTTTGATCTTTGAATTTGATACTGTGGATAGCCTGATTTTTCACTAGATCACATCTAAGATGCAACTCAGCCATGGCTATGCAATATTTACTGACATACTGTACATACAAGTACTCGATTTTCTAAGTACATCCTCAGATGCCACACTACTTGTCATGGATCCTAGCTATTCCAAACAAGTATTTGCTTGGACTAGTTCAAGATATGGTCCAGATCCTCCTTAGTGGTACCCCTGAATGTCAATGGGATGCTCTGTTTTATGCTGTCACCAATGGATGATGAATACTGATGACCACACTCACTTCCTCGACCACAAAGACACCAAGAAACTGAGAGGATAATGACACTAAATACATCAGTTCTTCTTAGTACTTGAAAGTATTAGCATCAAAGTGAATGTGGTGCTTATAACCAAGAACAACAAAGTGATATGTTGTATCTGTGTGCACATGATCTCGTGGCCCTGCACCATCTCTGGCCTGTTGCAGCTTTGGCAGTTTTTAAATAAACTTTAATCATTTTCAGTAGTTGTTTTTATATGTAAATAATTTTATTTTTTCAATCCACAGCAGTTGTATCAGTTTCTTCGTGATCGAATTTTTACTTATACTTTCTTTGCTATCAAATTCCAAAATCTATATATCTATATTTATCTTTTGTTATAATTTTTAAGCGATTAAGTTTCAATGATGGTATCTTGACAGAAGATCAATAGCTATTTGGTTGTCAAGGTGAAGGTCAACTAAGTATTGCTTCTATCTTTTTTCGAATATTCGTTCAAAGCTATTTTTGTATTGAGATTGTTTAAGGGGGCTGTGTTGTAAGCTATATTTTAAATGTTTTAATCTAGATGTTATCTAGAGGACTCATGACGTTAAGATCGAGAAATTTCGATTAATATCTAGACATGTGTATATTACTTATTGAGAAATTAATTAAGTGATTTACAGTTCAGTAAAGGCTTCAATGAGAAGCTAATGAAGTATTCATATCAACGTTAGTTATTGAGTATATTCAATTAATTAATCGATTAGCCGTGTAATTATAAGTTAGTAATAGTACCATTAGCGAGGAATTTCCGTTAAACTTAGGCGTGTATAATTAAACGTAACATGTACAAACGTTATAGAATAAATAAGCTAATTGGATGGACATCGCATTATTTTCACCAAATAATTCAAAAGAACCCGTCCAACGATAGAAATGCACAACAATATATATAATTGGTATATCCGTAGGAGTCGTCTGCAGTTTAGACAGTATTACTTTTCAAACAGGGTCGATGGCTTTTGGAATGAGCTGCCTTCAAGGGTGGTGGAGGAGAAACTTTAACCGAGTTCAAGAAAAGATTGGATGTATACATGAATAGTAAGGGGTGGCTATAGTTGGGAGCTGGAAGGAACATCCTTGATGGGCTAATAAGCTCCTTTTTGTCCCTTTAAAAGTTTATGAAATTTATGAAATTATGAAAATAACTGACAATACCTCCCTTCATCAATCAACGGGAAATAGCAACGTCATCGCATCATACCAAACACTGAATTGTATTTTTCGAAACTTAAAACCAAACCGATTATCAGATAATAAGGTTAAAACAAGTCACGTTAAAGTCCTCATACATATTGAAAACAGTGTATAGAACTTTTAATCAATTACTACTTAGATTTCTTTCAGTTGTTGCTACCAAATTTGAAGTTATGCCCCTTGTCCTATTGTTTACTCTACTAAACACAAAAAGTTTGATGGATCTATACTATCACTACCCTTAATAATCTTAAACATTTCAATCAAATCCCCTCTGACCATTCTCCTCTCCAGAGAAAATAAGTTTAGAGATATTAGTTCCCCTCATAGGACAATCCCACCATCCCAGGTATCATCCTAGTGGCTCTTCTCTGAACCTTCCTCAACAATTCAATGTCCTTCTTGAGGAAGGGAGCCCAAAACTGTACACAGTACTCTAAATGAAGCCTTACAAGTGATTATACAGTGAAACAATAATATCTCTTGTCTTGTATTCAATATTTCTATAGATGCTACCCAAAATCCTATTAGCCTTATTGCTAGCTATAATACACTGTTTAGATGACTTATGTGATTTTTCAATCACAACACCAATATCTTTTTATTCAACCACAGTATTTAATGTATTCCCATTTCAATTGTAACAATAATTTGAATTGTGAAAACCTACATGCATCATCTTACATTTTGCATAGTTAAATATCATCTGCCACGTATTGACCCAATGCATCAAATGGTCTAAATCTCCCTGTAAGTCTGCAGCATATTTGATACAGTCATCCACCCCAAATACCTAAATGTAATTTGCAAACTTCAAAATTTTATTAGTCATTCCAGAGTCAACGTCATTAATATAAATCACAAACAGCAGAGGACCCAGCACAGAGCCTTGAGGCACACCGCTTGTAACTGTGATCCAGTCAGATCTAACTCCATTTATTACTACTCTCCGCTTTCTATTCTCCAGCGAATTTTCTATCCAAGTTAATAACATTTTCTCCACACCCACAAATTTAATGTTTGTAAGAAGTCGTTTGTGAGGCACCTTATCAAACTAAATCCACAGTATTTCCTTCATCAACTCTTACAGTAACATCTTCAAAGAATGTCAGAAGATTTGTTAAACAAGACTTTCTCTTAGTGAAACCACGACGGCTCTTTGACACTATATCAAATTGCTTTAAGTGACTTTGCAATGCATCTTTAATCACACTCTCTAGAACCTTTCCAACTACTGATGTAAGACTAACTGGCCTATAATTGCCTGGACAATGTTTATCACCTCCTTTAAACATTGGACTAACATTTTCCAACCTCCAATCTTCCTCTACTCAGTGGCCTATAAAAAATATTAACTAGCGGTTCACAGATAAAATATTTAAGTTACTTTAAAACTCTAGGATAAAAGTTGTCTGGTCCAGGGGATTTATCAATTTTTGAGGTTTCCCAACTTTTCTCTTACAGTGTCAGAACTTAAAATGATATCTTTTATCTAACACACACACACATATGCATGTATATATTAATTACTTGGACATCTTGTTTGTTTACTTATCTCCAAATGTTAGCGCAGAGCTACAAAAAGATCTTTCTTCGGACAGTAATGATTAGTTTTGAATTAACAGTTTAGAGGGAAAACAGCTAGTCGACAGCGACCACCGGCCCCCCAGTGGCACAGGGTTATGTTTGCGGATTTACAACGCTAGAAACCGGGTTTCGATACCCGTGGCGGGCAGAGCACAGATAGCCCTTGTGTAGCTTTGTGCATAATCAAAAACAAGCAAACAAACAGCAACCACCGTGAACGCTTGTCTAATGAAATAATGGAATTTAACCGTCACTCTTACAGTGCACACACAGCTCCAAGGTACAGAGCACATTTTTACGACGATGTGTCACGAGCCATGAATCCTTGGATCCACAGTCAAGGCACACCAGCTGCTTCGCCATATTCGTTTCTAAATAAATAGCAAAAACTTTTGTGTTTTCAACTGTGAATTGTTATTTTCAAGATTTGTTATGAAATTGTATATATAATTTCCATGATATCCAAACTAATGACATAAATAACATGTTTATAATGTTTTTTTTTGTGTTTTAAGACGATAATAACGCTTCAATAACATTGAGCAGAAGATAATTAATTATTGTTTTAATTTGTTCTCCTGAAATCAAAACCAAAATGTGATATTTAAAAATTTTTTTTAATTTTCTTACGTTGATAATTATCACTGCTATTGTTAGAGGGCTATTGATGCACTGTCTAAGTGTTGTAATATACTCTAAATAGGTTACTTACAACCATTAGCAGTATCTGTGAGTTGTAATTTATTTCAACTTTTTTATTTGATAGTAATATAAAGTCATCGTATTTCTCATATTTCAGACCAGTTTTAAGTCTCATTTTTGATAAATAAATACTTAGTCTTTAGTGATGTAATGTCATTGTTATATTAATTTTGAAATTGTGTGAACTTGTATTTATAGGTTGTACTACTAGTACTAGTGTTGTAGTCGCACAACAAATTGCAAAATGTGATTGTTATTGTTAATATTAGTTAGACTTGGCTATTAATATTACTTATTATTACCCATAAAGTTATAATACTTAATAGTAATTTATTAATTACTATGCATGTGTAAGTTCTATGTGATCGTTTTCATGACATTCCGTATGAAGAAAATATAAGTGATCTTCACATGTTTTCCCCCCAGTCAGTAATATGTTAATACTAATTCTGTTAATCTGAGATATAACCTATGAAGTGATTAATTCCTAAGTTAGGACTCTATAGATTTTGAATATAAAAGTACCATACTCTAGCATATAATATACAGCCTACACAAGTCGGATTGTAATCTATTTAGGTTGGGATCTGTTGTTTCAAAAATTAAATTATGAAAGAGAACTTAAAGGAGTTAAAGATATACTACTTTTCTGAATAATATAGGTTTTCAAAAATAAATATGATTAGGAAGCCCAACTTATCATTTGATTCACCACTTGTCATTGAATTATACTGGTTTGTGTTGAATTCAACAGTAACCCTGGACAAGGGTAACTTGAGTTGAAAGAACAAGAGTAGACTTCATACACAACTATATATGACATGATAAAGACTAGTTTCATTCAGAGGGAAACAACATTTTGCTTTTGGGTTACATTGTTCTTAGGGCACATTTGTAATAAGCACAACAGTAAGGTTACTTAAGTTATATAATATATTTTTGGCCAGTGATGTTTCTTTAAATAATTTACTAATTTTTGATTAGATCTAACTGCATTCTGATAGTGATAGTAAAATCATGATGTATCTATATCACAGTTTAATGATAGGTTAAATATAAATGTTTTGATAATTTTTCGGATGTTGAGAATAGTTGGTACTCTCACGTTCTTAGCAAATTAATAATTATAACAATAAATATTTCAATATGTATCACACCCTTAAATAAAGAATGTTTATTTTACCATTCCTTTTTTGTTCTAAGAATTAAACCATGGGTGCAGCTAAAAGTGTGAAATAATAAATCTATTTGTCTACTTGTAAGAAGAATGTAGAGGCATTTAACTTTAAGGCTTGATATATTTGTTGCAAACATGCAAGATGTCCTAAAAATATTTAGAATAAATAGGTGTTAACAGATAAGAGCTAACTTTGAACAGTCACAGAGAAAGTACCTGCTTAAATTAGTAATCTAATTTCATTATTTTTAGTATAGACTAAGAAAGGCATTTGTAACTTTTATGTTTTTCTTTTATGAATTAATAGATGTTTATACCAAACTTTTGGAAGTTGGTAATATTTTATCTATTTGTGTTCCTTACTAAAAATGAATATCATATATACACATTAGTTTCAGAAGCTTTGATTTGATTTTACTCTTAAAACTTTTTAAACAGATTTTTTTGGAGGATGTAAGTTGCATTAGATCAATGTCACAGGCTCATCTTTGGACATGCTGTCTTCCTGATTTTTTGGTTACCATTAGTAACCACAATGTTTCCCACCTGGCTTTTGGCACAGACCACTGTCTATTCTTAACAACAAATGGTAGTGTATGCAGCTTTGGTAAAGGAAGCAAGGGGCAGTTAGGTGTGGGATCATTGAAAGATCAACTGAAAGAACCTCAGATTGTCCAAGGCTTTCCTCAAAAGGTTATTAGTATAGCTTGTGGACCAGAAACAAGTGCTGCTGTGTGTGAAAATGGAGAGCTGTATATGTGGGGTGATAATAGTTATGGTCAGTGTGGGGTTGACAGCAATGAAAGTGTAGTACTTGTTCCAACACTTGTCCAAATATTAGAATCTCCAGTCAACTGTAATAAATGTGATATCGTACTTTGTAAAAGAACTCAGATTGTAGAAGTTTCATGTGGGGTGCATCATACGCTTGCTCGGTCTAAAGACTATAATATATGGACATGGGGTGAAGGCCCTCAATTAGGCTTAACTAATGTAAATAGAACTGGTCCTACTAAGTTAGAGTTTCTAAAAGGGAAAAATGTTTTATCAGTTGCTTGTGGAGCCTTTCACAGCATTGCTGTATTGGAGGTTCCAAAAGTTGGTGACACTTCTGACATTCCAGAAGAACAATACACTCCCATATCTCTTTGTTCCAAATGTAAATGTGACCAGTTTACTGTGACTGATAATAGTGATGCTGTCATAGTGTCTCATGATCATGTCTGTCCACTTGGCCTTGTAGTAGCAGATGAAGAAGATGTAATAATAAAAACTGATTTGCAAGAAGATAAATTAGAATTGAAGATTGATGAAACAGCAGATAAAAAAAGTGAGGAAGATAATGAACAAAGGTCTAATGAAATTGTCAAAGAAATGTCATCATTGTCTCCATGTAATTCAAGCAAAAATAAGGTGGATTTTTATTTGTCTAATAATGTGAAAGATAATTTTGACAAACCAGAAAAAAAAATTGAACATCTACTTGATTCAGCAGGATATCTAGCTGAAGAATCTGTAAATGACCAGACAAATGACAGTTCAAACTATCAACAGATAACATCCTCTGATGACAAAAAAGAAGTTATACCTCCTAATCATGTTTTACTGGACCAATCATCTCAAGAATTCAATACAGCTGTGAATGAAGAGGAAAGTATGAAGGAACATCATCCAGATATTGTGGAAGAAAATGGTACTGAATTGAAAGCAAACACTTTAACCCTAGAAAATGGTGAACAGGTGGAATTAAGAAATAAGACTGTACAGTTTCAAAAGTTTGCAGATATGTCAACTAAAACATCTACTTCAGAGGAGAAATGTTTACAGGCATATCAAAGTAAACGACATTCATCTCTTATAGATCATGCTCAGGCAAGACAGTTTCTAGAAAAGCAAATTTCTAATGTATCTACAACAAGAAGTAGAACAAGGAGTATTTCTGTGAAAAGTGAAGATTCCCTGTCTGCCCCACCAGATGAAAGTATAGGATCTGATAAATATCCATTAATGAAGGGCCTCATGACTAAAGTCAAGACCACTGTAGACAAATTTCAGTATGTGGCATTTGGAAGTAGAAATAGTCAATCATCACATTCTGATTCAATTAGCAGCCAAGAGTCATTTGAAGTGATTGAGGTAGAGCATGCAGACACAAATGAGGTTCAGCACATTAAACGAACAGGATCATTAAAGTCTCTTTTGGAAATCAAGCAAGCATACAAACTCAAATCAATTAACAGAAAAGGAAGTATGGAAGTTTTAGTAAATAAGTCAAAAAGAAAAAGCTCTCCCAAAGAAAGATCACAGCACAGCATTCGTAAAAAGGAACTTGGCCGAGCGGCTGTTCAGACAGAAGTGTGGTCCTGGGGAGGTGGAGAATTTGGACAGCTGGGGCATGGAGATGAATTAGAAAGGTAATTTTTTGATAAACTATACAACATGAAAATCACCAGTTTTTATAATATTAGAGTTATTGGTTGATATTAAAAACTGTCAATATCATTAGATTTTACAAGACGTACAGACTATAGAAAACATAATAAATACTTTTGATAGGGGTTTATTAAAAAGGTTGATTTTACACTTTCCAATCATTTCATAATTCATAAAGCTTTAGTTGTTTTTTTGTTTTCTGTAGTAAAAGTAAAAAGTATACAAATTTAGTTTTTTTTTAACTTTAAACATATATTTGAACAGCATGCCATTAAATTATATGCCACCCTTTCCACTGAGCACTGATTAATACAATGCTGAGATGATAACATTACATCATAGTCTGTACGTTTAGCTGTACTCGGATATTTCTAATGAATAATGCATATAACAATTAATAGTTTACATGTGGGCTCAACATTCAGCATCAGGAAGGATTATTTTACAATATAGCAGTCAGGAAGCTGGCAACAACCATATCTACTATCTAGTACTCTCTCTCTCCAGTTTATTTCTTTAGAGTAAGCATAAGTAGGACAGTGTTTTTATACATTATTTATCATGCAGGTCTAGCGAATACAGATGATCAGTAAAGGTTCTCGTGCCATCCAAAATACTAAATGTTACTTTCTGTTGTCATTGGCTTCACTTAATTAAAATTAAAATGGTTGCCAAATTTGAACAGTTTGTCCAATTGTCAAAATTGATTCAGCCAATCTCTTACAAGAGTTTGTGATGTCAAGACATCAGATGGATCGACAAACTTATTTTATATTTTATGGGATATCAAGGGATCTTTTGACATTAAAGGATGCCCTAACTCTAAATCTCCCTCAATCAAGAAAACTAATCATTAAATCCATCCCTGATCTTCTAAGTATCCATCTACCCTTTTCTTAAACCCCCTTCTAAAGTTTTAGCTTCTTCCAGTGTAGATAGCAGTTTGTTCCACAGATTTATCACTGTTTGAAAAATAAAACTGTCTTAGCTGGAGATGTTTTCAATCTTCCTAAAACTAAAATTTATGACCTCTCAGAGTTTAATATACCTTGTGTCCTCCACTCTTCTCACATGTCTTGGAGGGGTGGAGGATTACGGAGCAGGGAGCTGGCTGTGTGTTGGCTCATATAAGCTCCCTCTCTGTGTCTTAAATATATTTAAAGATGGCATTTATACACATTCATACTGCTCACAAAAACTGTTTCACTTGGAATATTATTTCATACATCCTCTACTCTTTGAGAGAAAAAGAACTTCCTTAAATCCAATCTGGAGCTCTGCTTGTATATTTTATACTGGTGGCCTCTAGTTGTAGAATTGTTAAATATAAATAAATCTGCAACATCTAATCTGGCAAGGCCTTTAATAATTTTAAAGACCTCAATTAAATCACTCCTTAAATAATGGGTTTCAAGTGTAGTGAGGTGTAATTTCTGAAACTTCCTTTCATAAGAAAGGTTATGATGACCTGTTACCATCTTAGATAATCTCCTCTGAACTTGTTCAAGTAGATCTACATCTTTTTGAAGATATAGATGCCATACTTGGATACAATATTCTAGGTGAGGTCAGATAAATGATTTGTATAACCTAAACATTCCATTCCTTATTTTGAATCGTTCTCTTAATCCTACATAAAATGTGATTTGTAGCTTTAGCATATTGTTTGTTAACACTAAGAGATTTGTGGATAACCACCCGTAAATCATTTTCTTCATTAATAAATTCAATCAGACTGTCACCTAAAAAATAGTCATATTGTTCATTGTTGAAAACGAAATGTAAACAAACACTCTTTTCAGGATTAAATAGCATCTGCCACTCAATAGTCAAGTGTAGCATATTCCAAATCTTCTTGTAGCCAAGCTGCATCAACTACAGTTGCTATACTGCAGTACATTTTGGTATCATTTGCAAATTTTAAAAGCCTACTACAGATGTTTTCATCAGTGCCATTGATATAAATAATAAATAAGGTGGGGCCAAGCACAGACCCTTTTAACAGAATCCCACTCAGATGTTGTGCCATTTATAATAACTCATTGTTGATGATTATATAACCATTCTTGAATCCAATTTAACACTTCTGAAGATATTTCATTTACATAAAGCTTGTTAAGTAACCTGGTATGGAGAACCTTACTAAAGTTGAGATAAGTTATATCAACTGGGTAACTTTCATCAATGTATTGAGTCACTTCTAAATAAGCAAGTTAATTGGTTACATGATCTTCCACTGGTAAAACCATGTTATGTTTCTCTGATGTGATTAAAAGTTTCTAAATGTAAGGTAATGGGATCCTTGATGATAGATTCAAGAATTGTACTTATTTGACTTGTCAAGCAAATTGATCATAGTTTTCTTGAGCCTTTCTTGAACAAAGTGAAACATTAGCATTTTTCCAATCTGGTGGGACTTCAGACGAGTCCATACTTGCTCTGAAAATTTCACTAAGAGGATAAAAAATTTCATATGCTGCTTTCTTAAGAACTGAAGAGAATAACTTTCAAATTACATAATTTTTTAGACAATTTCAGTTGATAGATAAACATTTTTCAACTCTTGCTCCGAAGAACCAATAAAAGTATGTATAGGATCTGGTATATTATCAAGAATTTATTTAGTAAAGACAGTGCTAAGGTATTCATTTAAAATATTAGCTGTTTTAGTGTCATCTGTAATTGCATTACAATCATCATCAATGATTGTGCCCACCTGTTTTTTGGTTTTAGGTTTATAGTTAACATATCTGTAAAAAGACTTGGGGGGGGGGGTCCTTTATGTTTTCATCCAGTTTCTTTTCAAATTGTTTCTTGGCCTGTTGTAGCTCCTTTGTGGCATGATTAAGTTAGCTTTTGTATTGAACATAATCTGTATACTCCTTGGATTCACTGTATCTCTTCCAAAGATAATATTTCTTCCTTCTGATGGACTCAGTATTTCTGTCGGCCCATAGTGGTTTGCATTTCCTATGTTTAGAAGTTTTGAGGGGTACATAACTTAGAAACAGTTTTATCCAAAATTTCTTTATAAACATTGAACTTATTCTCAACAGCAAAGCCCATAAAGCAGTCTATCCGATATATCTCACTCACAAATTTACTCATTCCTGCGTAGTAACCATTATTGTAGTCATAGAAAGTAGTTTTCTATTCTTTAATTTCCACCAAACAAATAATGTCAAATAATATAATATTGTGGTTGCTGAAGGGTTCACTAACAGTTAAATTGTCGTTCAAATTGGGAATACTAGTTAAAACTAGGTCCAAAATGCTATTACCTTTAGTAGGTTCAGTAATGTGTGGGAAAAAGATCCTGAGTTAGATCCAAAAAGCATTTCCTTTCTGCACCAGAGTGAAGAAGATCCCAATTGATAGTTCTGAGGTTGAAATCACTGACAGTAACTACTGAACTATAGTCTTTACATGCTTCAGATATTATATTATGAAGGATTTGTTCATTTTCAATTGATACTGAAGTACTATGGTAGCAGACACCTAATAATAACAATCCTTTGGTGGTACTAATTTTTACTCAGTTTAGTGCCTTCTACGTATGTAAGTTCATCCAAAATAACTGCATTTAATTAGGTTTTATATAAGTTAAACAGCCACCACCTTTAGATTTGGTATGATCATTCATCAAAACTTCATACTCATCTAGTACTAATTTAGCATTAATAATGTTACAGTGAGCCCATGGCTCATTGATACAAGTAATTTCAGAATCCAGCTGATAAGCATAACATTGTATCTTGTTCATTTTATTTACAATACTTTGTGCATTGACACAAAAACAAGTAAGTTGCTTAATAACTGTTTTAGTTGTGCTATCAAAATTTGTAAATAAACCTTTTGTGCAAGGATTAATAGTTTTCATTTTCCACATGTCCTTTGAATGCTCCCAGTTAGAGGGGGGTTCCAAGAATCTCTTATGTTAATCTCCTCATACCTCAGTACTAAGTTTTTCACCATTTCCACTTTAGCACAAGACTTTTGATCCAGATCACTTTCTTTTTTCTTTTGGTAAAGTCTGGTGAAATAAACACAATTTCATAAAGTTCTATATCCTTCAGAGATTTGGCTTTATTTAACTCTTTATATTTCTGGGCTTTGGCTGCTAGCTTGACCCTTAATGGGTGTTTTCTAGATTTAGAATCAGTGATGCATTCGATATGCTCGATTGTTGCATCACACACGCCTAAGACATTAATATAACATAACATTTTGGAACAACATGGGACCTATTGGTCTATCTTGGCTGTTCCATCCTCTAAACTAAACTAAAACTATTATGCAGTATGTGTTTAACAATTTCAATTGAGCAACCAGTAATTACTTGCATATCTACAGTCACTGCATCAGCCTGGGGGCTTTCAGAAATAAATACATTATTTACTTCACTAGTAGAAATGTTAGCATTTTGACCTGATGCATCAGTCACAAAAAAAAGTAATTTAAACTCACAAACATTTGGTATAATAATGTTAGTTTTTCTTATGTTTTATTCTCTAGTCTCAAAGAATTCTTCTTTGGTAACAGATCTAACATTCCTGTCAAATGGGCCTTTAACTTCATAAATTTCATCTACTTTATTGAGCAAATCATTCATTTTACTACTAGTCATTTGGTCAAACTGATCGTTCACATTCTGCATGAGCTTAAAGACCTCCATGGCTTTATGGCTTTACCATTACATCCAGTGCAGAACCAATGGCATTGCTCACCATCAGGATTATCAAGAGAATCATACAGAGGTCTTAAGGAATCTCCACACTATTTTTGTGGAACCAGTTTGAACAGTATTCATAGGTCAGGGCAGATTCCTGACATCCTCTTTACCACATTTGTTAAGAGTTAACTTTCTTACCAGCTTTGGATATATTAGGGATGGATTTCCTACCACCTTCAGCCAAAATTAGTAAAGTTCTAAAAACATCTACCAATGACAAGAAACTTCTCACCAGTTGAATTTAGCTCTCAGTTGTAATTATTATTACATTATACAGTATCTTGTCTTATTTGTTAAGCCTATCATTAGTTCTGCTTTTCTACGTTCGAACTACCACATACATTTCTAGTATTAGTAGTAATGTTCACACTGACATCTTCATCCAATTCATCACCAACATTCCACTGATTATTCAATCTTCCTTGATATAAAGATTCTTAATTTAGTTAATATTATTATTTAACTATAAAAGACAGCCATTCTTTTGCATTTAAAAATAAGCTGCCACATCAACTTGGATGGGTCTAACTAAATTCTAAGTAATTAAACATGCACATATATAAACACCCAAAAAATCTGATGCATTAGTCTTATCTGTTCCTTTAATAATTTTGAATACTTCAAATAAATCATCCTTGAACCTTTCCTTTTCAAGGGAGAACAAGTTACGTAATCTCATCCTATCTTCATATGACATCCCATCCATCTCTCATCTTAGTAAACCTCCGTACATAATATTCCAAATGAGGCCTAATTAGTGACTTTGTACAGGAAAAACTATGGCCTTTTTTAGACTTGTAGTTAATATGCAAGCTCATATTAGAATTAGTTGGTTAACTTTTGAGTAGTCGATGTAATCAGTTACCTACAAATGATAGATCTTGTCTTATGGCCTCAAAATTGGCTTTCTAAAAACTAGAAACTACAATAATTGAAGCAGTAATAAAAGAAACACAGGATAGGTTAGTTTATTTTCATGACATTAATTGATTTAATCATAATTATAATTATTCAATTATATTATGTGAAACTAATTAATATAATTGTAGCTTAGGCAATTGATTAAGCACATTATTTGCCAGCTTTAATGATTGATCAAATAGAACTTTGGTTTGTGTCTGTGTTTTTCAATTTCTACAATATCAGCAATGAAAGAAGTGTAGCAAGCTCTTGAGTAGGATGAATGTATTTATAACATCAAGGTTGTATTTATTGCATTATTTACTTTTATAGACTGATGGAAACTAACACTTCTAATCAAGCATAGCATTAACACTATTAGTTGATTATAATTGTGTAAAAGATTTTGAGTTGTGTTAAAACTATGATGAGAAGACTTAATTTGAGCAAACACAAGGGTAACAAGTAAGAAAAAATTGTCTTTTGACAGCTGTATTCTTAAATTACCAAGTTATGATACCTGTACCATATGTATGTATGTGTGTGTGTAAATACAAGATATCTTTCTTTGGAAACTTAAAAATGGGTTTTCTTTTTTTTTCTAGACTACAACCTTGTTGTGTAAAACAGCTTTCTGGTCAAGGAGTTGTTCGAGTATTAGCTGGAAATTTCCATTCCATAGCATTAACAGCTGATTGCAGGATATTTACCTGGGGTTTGAATGATGTCTGTCAATTAGGTCACAGCCTTAGCAATGAGAAAGTTCTGTCTCCTAAACAACTTCAGGTAAAATTGCTACTAGACTTTAAAAAAGCAGGATAACAGACCAAAATAAATAGATATTTTATCAAACAATTTATTGTAAATGTAAAATTTTTGTTTCAAGTTACATGATATGGACATAAGTGTCGATTAACCATTTCGCATTGGGTAGGTCAAAATGCACGTCACAACCTTTTACAGAGTTACATTCAAAACTTAATTAAACTACTTTATTATCAATGTATAGAATAAACTTGGTATCAAAACACAGCTAATAAATCAAACTTTAATATTATATGAGTTCTAAGTTCTTAATTTTATAAGAAAATATTTTTAAAAATCCACAATTTCTCTTAGTATGAAAATTGTGACATTTTCTTCCTATGTCTTCCCTCCTCTAATATATTTACCACCCCTCTAAGAAGTATGGAATTTAATGTCAATTGCTCATTACTATATAGTTATTACTCAGGCCAAGCATGAAGTTTCTAGCCTTCATTGTTATTTGGTTACAGAGCCATAAGCTAGAAAATCAGAATGCTCTTGCAATGCTCACCTGTTACGTCTTATTTTTCACAAATTGCCAGTAGTTCTAATAGAAAGCCAAAGTTTTAATCTATCAAATGATGTATTACATTACGTTGTTTTCTGTAAAGAGAATATTCACTTCCAGTTCAAATAATCCCACGTGGAACACATCAAGGAGCTTAGCTGAAATTTTAAAGGCTCTTATCGCATAGTTAGAAAACCATGGTAGTTATAGGATACTGACTGCTTTTTACATGTTGGTATTCTGTATTTTTAGGTGCAGTATTTAATTTTAAGTTATTTATGGAAGTAGTACTATTAGTACAAAAAAGTTTCATTGACAGTCGACAGCGAAGAAAAAGAAAACCCTGACAAATACTATATTTTTTGTTTTTCATGTGTATTCTTTATTTATTATTTTAAAAACAACTAAAATGTAAAAATTATAAACTTGTTAGGTTAGATTAGAAGAAAAACAATAAAAATTATTTGCAAGGTATGCTTGTGAGCAGCTCATGCATTACGTATTTGATAGGGTAAACTGAGTTACACATTCATTGAGTGATTTACAATGTGTGGTACAGTTATTAGTTAGACACAGTTCAAATTCAGACTCTCTTCTGGATGTAGATGTTTGTTTCCAAGTCCACTCTTAAACAGACCAAAGGTAAAAAATTCCAGTGGAGCTGCAGCAGGAAACTTGACAGTTATCTGATCGAATGGGATTACTGTCATTTTTTTTTCAACTCTTTTTTTTTTTTTCTTGTAAAATGAGTGGCTAGAAGCTTGTAAACTTTTAGCATATGAACCTTCAACTTCAAACCCTTGTATCTGAGCCAATTACTGTCCTTAATTTTATGCTATTGTGTTTTTTGTTTATCTCTTCAACTGAGTTTAACCATGGAGTATTATATTGTCAAATAGTTTGGAATTTACCATGAACCCAGTATATAGATCTAAACATTTGACTTTGCATAATAGTAGAACTGAAGAGAATAAGCTAGAACTGTTTTGTACAGATCAAATAACAGAAGTTCTGTCCTACTTCCTCAAACATTTTTTCAGAAAATGGTTACCTAAAATAGGTCAACAACATTTTCAAGTCATTTTGAAAACACTAAATTAACTATACAAATTAGGGGTGTAAAATGTAAATTTAGTTTACAAACTTTAGGTTAATTGTTTGTGGAGACGTACATTTAGTGTATTTTTAGTAAAAAAACAACCACACAATCTCATGATATAGCATATTAGATATCATGAAAAAATATTGCATACACTACAGAACACTTAAAAAAACTTTCAAATGCTGATATTGAATGTTCTTTTAAACTCCACCAGAATAGTTTGGCTCTATAGATGATAGTTAGATAACTGGAACACTTTTAAAAGAGGTGAAGAAGGAAAATATGTCTTATGAAAATGCATGAATTTAACCTACTTTTTTTATTTTTTTATCTTGGGTGTTTTTATAATGCTATGAAACTAGTAATAATGATTTTATTGTGAATCTACATTTTTCTTGATTATTTGGTAAGGATAACTTGTTTTTTTATTTTTTAATATATTTTATATATACATGTAGCTTCCTCATCATGAACTAGTGTGGGATGTAGCCACTGGAAGAAAACACACACTTATACTTGCTGATGTACGTGTTCCCAATGTTGCTCTCTATTTCTGTGGAGCACATGAAAGGTATAATAAAGTTATATTTTCAAAAAGACTAATATAGCATAATTGTGTCCATAACATGTATTTATTAATACAGGAAGAATTGGCAAACTTTTAAACAGTATTTCTTTTTACAATATCTAATTCGTAAGGTTACTTTCGTGTTTTCTGGTTCAGTTATCCTCTTGATTTTTTATAACTCAAGTAATTGATGCTTGTCAAGTTGCTGAAAAAAATTATGAAATACCACATGTTTTCAGAGATTATTACAACATTTAAAAGTAGGTGATTTCTCATTTTTGTAATCTTTATGTTCTGACACTAAAGTAGGAGAATCTTTCTTCTACAGTATACTACTGTGAGTGTAACAATGCACAATCTATCCAAGAATGTTAATATTCTGCAACATACTTTACAATGTAACAAAATATCATCTGTGAAGGTTTGTCTGTAGTGTACTTCTTTACATTGTAGCAGTGCATAATTAGTCCATGTTTATTAACCTTCTGCAGAAACTACTTTACAATGTAAGAAAGCAGAGATCTGCCTAATCTTATTAATGCTGTGTAAATACTGCTTTAAGATATAACAAAGCAAAGATCTGTCCAAGCTTATTAATACTATGTAGAATACTTCAAATACTTCATCACAGTGTAAAAAGTAGAAATCTGCTCAAGCTTTATCAATCTTGTGCAGAATACTGCTTTACAGTGTAACAATATAGCACCTCTGCAGTCTGCTACCTCATGTATTAAAGTAATTCAGAATCTACCCAATCATGTCACTCAAGTACAGTTTTATATTAAAGGATCTGTACAGGTATATTAAAATTATTTCAAATAGACCAACTCTTTACTTTATGGCAGAGAACATGTAACTAGGTTAGTGGGTTTTTCTCATTAAATGGAAGTGGAAACTTTAAAATATTCAGTAGTACAAATTACTAAAGAATTGCAAGAGTATCCTAATCATTTAAAAAAAGATGGTATTGATAAATTGTAAGTGAATAACAAATAAGCCATATTATCAATGCAGCATACTTGTTGAGGATTTAGTTTCAACTTTCTAATGTTATTTCTCCCACTTTTTAGTTTATGATAATTATTTTTTGGTACATTTCATAAGCATCTTGTATTAAAAGAAAAATATTCTAAGTTATTTGCAGTTTTAGTTTGCTGAGCCTAATGGCACATTCTGTAATATTTGTTTAATGTAAACATGCCAATGAGGTATTTTCTATTGTGACTTAAGATTGGACAGTCATAGTATAATGTTCAAATTTAATTATTGTACAAGTCGACTTCTAGTGTTTTGCTGAAGTGACTATAATTGGTCTATATTTGTAACAGGTTCACTCTCACCTTACATAGTTAAATGGTCAATAAAGAAGACTACTTTGTAATGTTATTTCATGATGCCTCTAAAAAAAATTATGATGAGCACTTTCAATAATATTTAGTTATTAAAATACGTAAAACATAGAAGAAAATATATAAGTACTAGCAGTCCATCCCTTTTTTATTAGTTTACTATCAGATGTACCTGTGCCCAATGTTGCATTTATTTAGTTGACTTCATGTGTCATGCAGTTCTAATTAATATGAACGATCAGCAAAGGTATCTGGGCTATATGTTTGATTAAATGTAATTTTAATTTGGCATTTGCTGTACATAGTAAAAATTGAAATGTTTGGTAAATTTGTGTGTTTTTTTTCTGCTTGCTTATTCATTAAAGTGTGATCTTTAGAGGTCCACTTCAGTTCATCTACCAGAGTTTATAAAAAATTGGTTCACCAGTTTCTCACGACAAGTTGTGACATCATACAGATGGGTAACATTGCTTTATATACATATTTGGCTTTTTTTTTGATACATCAAGTAGTTTTTTTTCTTAGTAAAAAGTGAAATTTGGTTTGTTCATTGGACCCCCCCCCCCAATGTTATAAAAGTTAATATGCTTAAGTATATTTATTGGCATTTCTGAAATTTAAGACCTAACTAAGCTCATTCATTTGCCAAATTCTGTTAACTTAAATTGTAGCATTGTAGGCCTTATCAAGGCACATTAATGTGCTATATTCTGTTGACATGTGCTATGGCCACTTTGTTATACTGATGTAGAACATTATACTGTTCAGTTTACATTGTAATATTTTATATTATAAGAGTGTAGGAGCAGAGGAACCTGTAGTGAGTTTCATTTTATTTCATCTCTCATTACTGTATTTGTGATAGTTCATTAAAGCCATCTCTACCCATTGTCTCTATTTTTTAGCAGTTCATAAAGGTTTTTCTGACATTAAGAGTTACACAAATTGCTTTATCAAGCTCTGTGCTACTATGAACCAGGTCATTTAATGAAAATATTTTGTTTTTATTTGACTTTTTTTTTTAAATATAGTAGTTAATGTCACTACTTACATAGAGTCACTAACAATTCTACTATTATTATGTTCAGAAGAGAAGATGGAGAAGATTGTTCTTGTTCAAAAGGGAAACCAAGTCACATATCAGTCCTGAGAAAGGTTGGTATTCTTTAAAATATCTTGTTTAAATTAATGAAAATATTTACATATGTATGATATGTTGAACAAATTATATACAGAAATATATATTGATAATTTTTGTTCATCTGCATTAATGCAAAGCTGTTATTTTTTGTTCATGCATAAACACTTGGAAGCAAATCAAATAGTGCTAAGTCAGCAACAGTTGTATTTTTGTGAAGAGTAGTCTTTCAACGATTTTCAGCATATACCTTTTATTTTTCCTGAGCATTGGCACAGATAACATTGAAAATAGTCACATTTTCATTTTTTTTTGACATACATTCAGCAAGTGACAGTTCTAGAATTACCAATCATTTTTTAACCTGTCCCTAACGTTGTAAAAAATTTAAGTTGTGTAATGAAGGTCTTGTCTATTTACATGTAGTGCTCTTCTTATGTAAGTATTAAAACTGTTTTTTAGAATTAAAACGTAATGAATATTTTATATTTGCTTTGGTTCTGATTATTAAATTACTCCCACCTACAACACACACACACACACACCAAAAAAAGTCCACTTGGTTTTCAATGAGGCCAGGTTTCAAGTGTTCAATCAAAAAATATATGAAATACCCTAAGTATGAGGTACTTAAACAGATGCAAGGTAATATCAAGTACCACTTGTCATCTATGAGATTACGATACTTTTGCTGAATTTATTGTGTGTGTGTGTCTTGCTTTAAGTTTAAACATGCATGCTGCACATACATGTACCAAAAAGATTTGTCAACTCAACTTTCACAAGTAATATCTCAGAAAAGGACTCTTCAGTGTGTGTGTGGCATTAAGGAGGATTTATATATTACTTTAATTTTCATATAGTTGTTTTATTAGAAATATTAATGAAATTTTGTTCTAAGTGAACAAGCATTGACTCTAGTGATTCAATGTTTTATTTTTCTTACTTTTTCAAAGCAAACCTTTATGGTGAAAGTTAAGTTATACATCTAACAATATAAATTTCAAATTTGGTCCATACATAAATCAAGAGTAAAGGAATAAAAGTTTACAATGATGTTATGGTTTTTTCAGACAGAGAGAAGTTGTCTTATTGATTGTGCAAAGTTAATCATGATAGTAAGAGAGAAATGAAATTAAAATCAAATCTAAATAAAGAGTTGAATAACATTAGCTAAAAACAAAAATACAAATAGGTACATACATATATGCATAAGGAACAGATATACAAACAGGCATTTATATGAATGTTGTAAGAATGGTAAGAAATACTTATAATAAATTATTTCAAAGTTTGTATGCTGTACATAAATGATTATGTAACAACTTCTGCCTGAAATGCTGCTCCCCAGTGGCTCAACATTGAGCTGGTAATGCTAGAAATTAGATTTTGATACCTGTAGTATATAGAGCACAGATAGCACATTGTGTAGCTTTGTGCTTTACAACAAATAAACTGCTAAAATTCTACAATTAATAATATATAGTCTTAATTATGAATAACAAGCAAACCACAAAAAGGTTTCCATGACTATCCTGCCCTAGATCATAGGCAACTGATGAGGAACCAAGTTACGATGTTCACCTATTTTCTATTATTTGTATAGAAAGTTTTAATGATGTTAAAAGGCTTGGATTAAGGTTGTATGTAGTTATTCTTTGAAGTTAGATTTGTTAAAACTTGTGTCATATTTTTAGTATCCTCTCTTCATATCTGGTTGAAATATTAAATAGCATAAAAACTGAAAATTCTATAGTAAAAACATTTATAGTGGATGATAAATTTGAAATAAATGGAAATGAAAAATAATGCAAGAATTCAAGAGTCGACCTCATTTCTTTTTTTTCCTTATCTTAAAATATAGCCATTTTTTTTTAGTTGTCACTTATATGTTTCTATGTTGTTTTTTGTATGTGGTTTGCCATTTTTTGTTCTGATGAAGCTAAGTAAACAGTGATGAAGCATAATGATTTTCATTATAACACATTTTTAATATAATTTTCTGAAATTTTGAAAAGTTCTTTTAATTTTATTTTGAATGCCTGTACAACCAAATTTATTTTTTGAATGCCTTTTATAACCAAAATCTTGATAATATTCACAGTGGTAACATTTACAGTTGTTATAACCCTGATGAACATTATGGTGATGTCATAAGTAAAATTTTAACTTTCATATGAAATTGCAGTTAGGCCAAATGAAAATTTACTACTAAACAGTATGAATAATGTTAAATTCCAGTAATGTGGACATTTGTTTAATATCTACAGTATTTTTTAAAATTTCAATATTATTAAGTTGTGAAACTTTTGGGTCTTCTTTTAATATATGTAACAAAACACATCTATTTTTTTTAGTGGTTTTCATGCATAAGTCACCCTTCTTATGTATTTAACATGTTATGCAAATATAGTTAGAAAATTTTAGTAAAGTCAGAGAATATTTATAGCCAAACTGCACAAGTTCTGTAAGGTAGGATATCAGAAAGATTGACCTTGAAAATGTTAAAAATTACAATTATTTCCTTGTTTTTTTTATAAGTGAATTAAATGGTTTGCTCAAAACATCTAGAACTTACTATTAACTAAAACTGATGCTTTGTAATGTGAATTGCCTGAATGTACATCATATTTTGTGAGCATTAGCTAAATAGTTTCAGGTTTAGTAATGCATGAATGAATTATATGAATTGAATTGCATATTAAGAAAACATCAAGACATAAAAATTAAAATCAAGCAAACAAAATGGGCCACTAAACTAACAAGGTAAGTCCAGAAATAAAATAAAAATTAAACCTACAAAAAAATGTAAGCTTTTTTTGAAGCAAATACATATTTAGTCTCTTTTTTTTTTATGTGGTCAGTTATTTAGTTTTGATGTTTAATGATAACTTTTTTTCTGATGGTTATAGTTCTTTCATGTTTTGATGCCTTTTATTTTCCTGTGATAGATATCTACATGCATGCTATATAGTGTTCTGGTGTTATGTTTATCATTTGTCACTGAGTTATACCAGTTTCAAATGATATATTGAGATTCACATTGATTTTTAGTATTTTAAACAGCTTGTTGACTGAATAATTCATAAGCATAGCTGAATAGCATAAATATTGCATATTTTTGAAGTTTCTACATAATTATAAGATTACTGTGTGAGTAAAAGACTTCTCAAAATACTATATGTATTCTCATGTTTTCTAGACTGGTCTGGTGACTAGTGTGTTTGCTGGTGGACCGTATTCGGGTTGTATAGTAGATGAACGAGGAGTTGGAGAAATTACTGTTCTACATGAGTTTGCTGCATCTGAGAGGAAGTATCTTCATCAATTGCAGAAAATTATTCATAATGTGCTTATACCCATCATAAAAAATGGTAATTCCAGCACTAAGTTAAATAATAGAAATATTCTTTATACTTATTACATGACAAATCCAGAAATGTTAAGATAAGGTGGGCTTTTGGTGGAGGAATTTTATGCAGATCAGGGAAGTTTTTGAAACACTCGGTGGAAAATTTTGAAACCTTTTTTTTTTCTTCAAGCCAAACCTGGTATATACAATGAGTATTTGAAAAATATTAGGATATATATGGATGTTATATATTTTAAGATAATTCAGTGAATAGAAATGGATTTTAATCCACATTTACATTAATTTAAAACAAAATGCCAGTTGCTTTACTGTAGCTTTCATCAGGCAAGACTAAATGAAAATTTACTTCAGAATATACTCAGAATATGACTTTTTGAATAAACAATTTCAGTGAAACTATGGGTCTGATTGAAATATTTAAGAATACGTATTTTCTGATACAATATCTTACCTTCACTCACAGAATAGTTCCCAACTTTTACTGCCCTCTATATGTGCAAATGTTTCCTCGCCATTAGCCTTGATACTTCCACCTACCCTCAAGTTTTCACAAGAGACATCTGTGTAATAGCATGCAAATCAGCATGCGACAACTTTCCACCAATAGGAGCACAACACGACTCCTAGCCCAGTTGACTTCCTATATGCAGGTTAGCCCAACTTCACTTCTCGATTGGCACTTGTGGTGTCACAATGTGTTTTTTGCTTGCACTTTACTTTATGAAATTTTCAGTCAGTTCCTTGTTTTTTTTTATGGAAACTTAGTTTTTCTTTATATTTGCTACGTATGTTCTGAAATTCTAGTTAGTTCCTATTAGCAATAGGTGTCTTTTATTCTAATGTGTGATTCTTTGGAGCTCCCTGTTTGGGCTTTTCTTCTTCCACTCTTAGTTGAAATGATTTCTGCGTTTCACATTACAACTACTACCAGTTAACCTTACTTTGACTACAGTGGTTTCGGATCCACAATTGTTGGCAGGGGTGTTATGGCCTTAGTTTGCTTGGAGTTGGTCACCTTCATGCAGGCTCCTGATTTGCCTGAAGATTATCCTCTCATGCCTTATTCAGGAGTACCTGAACAAGAGTATGAAGATTTTGACAGCCTGTTTCCTCCCTCTTCCTATCCCACACAGTCATGTTTGGCTCCAGTGGAAGTGCCTAAGCCTTCTTTCCTGGAACTACTAAACCAGGTATGTTACATTTTGTTTTTGTTCCCCATTTCCTTTTAAGTGAGACACCCTAGGGCCAATATCTTGCCCCCCCCCCCTCACTGGATATTGGGGTTCATTTCAGTTTGTGGACCAGTTCTTTCAGGGGTCAGTATGTCTTGCCCCCACATAATATGAAAGGCCATGCTATGGCTTACTATAGGTCTGCATTTCTTTTTTTGAACTTTCAGTATTTGGATTCTCTTCTGCCTCTGTGAAGTTTGAATCCCAATATTTTGGTACCATTTTCCCAATTTAAATTTTTCCTCATCCAAATCACTTTATCCTAACCCTTCTTTGTTCTTTTTCTTCAACCTCTTCCTAAAAAGAACCTGTTCCCATGTATCGTCCTCCTCCTTCCTCACTTTTACCAGTACCTACCTGCTACACAGGTTAACTTCCAGTTCGTTTATCGACAGCTTCAGCCCCACCTTTCCACTTCGACATCTGCTCCTTCCACCTCTTTCCCTCTTGTCCACCCTCCTCAGACAGCCTCACTCAGATGCCCTACATCCTTCCATTCCAACACTCCATCTTCACAAGTGGCTTTTGCCTGGTCTCTTGCCAGATGGACCATACTTTCTTCGGGGATTGCTTCCCTGATTTTCCATTTTGTTCATCCTTCCTCCATGTCAGTTTACCAACATCAGTGGTATGTCTACCACCATTGGTCTTCTCATTATAGTTTTCCTCCATCCTGTTCTACTCTCTCACACTTAACTTCTTTCTTTATCATGTGGGCTTGTCAGCAATTTTCCGTTTCACAAGATTCAGCAGTGTCTTCACTTCTCCAGTTCTCACCTTATTGTTTGTTTCTTCTACCTTCATGATCCTTGTGTCTTACCATCCTTCGTGATTGGAACCTCAATGTTGACCTCCATGCCTTTAACACTTCTGCCCATCAGGTCCATGTCATCCTGTTCCTTATATCATTTCTCCTAAAAACCTTTTTTCTTCTCCTTTGGCACATGGACATGATGTTCAGATTTGTTCTCTCTCTCTCTGTCTCTTGCACATTATATCACAGAACATGCGTCATCCTTTACCTGGATTAGTCTTTTCTGTCCCAAACATTGGCTGCACGTGATTTTGCCTTTACTTCCATTTCCCTTCCTTAACACTTCTGCCCATCAGGTCCATGTCATCCTGTTCCTTATATCATTTCTCCTAAAAACCTTTTTTCTTCTCCTTTGGCACATGGACGTAGGTGTTCAGATTTGTTCTCTCTCTCTCTGTCTCTTGCACATTATATCACAGAACATGCGTCATCCTTTACCTGGATTAGTCTTTTCTGTCCCAAACATTGGTTGCACGTGATTTTGCCTTTACTTCCATTTCCCTTCCTTCGATTTCTTGCTTTTATCATTGTTCTGACCAGGCTCTCTGCTGTTATATGTCTTGTACTGATCCTTTTCATGGTTCATGTTTGTTCATTCATTGGAACCCTTTCCTTTCCCATGATATTTCTCCTATTACCCTTATGGGTTGGATTCACCAGCTTTTTCATCTGGCTTATTCTTCCCTGTCTCCCGATGATCATCGGCTATTCTAAGCCTTCTCCCATCAAATCTTTCACCTTTCTATGTCCCTGGCTGCCCGATTCCATCATCCTTTAGAGGATATGGTTCATGCCAGCATGTGGACCACACCCCAGACCTGTATTTCACCTTATCTTCATTGTCTATTGGTTTCCTGTTTTACAGATTACTGTCTACCTTCCATTGCCACCTTGAGTGCCACGGTTTCTCCTAGAGTGGGTAGGTGCTCTTTTTCTGTTTTTCTTATTTACAGGGGCCTTTCTTACTTATACAGATCCTGCTCAGTGGTGAGAATTGCCTAACCAGGTATACTTAAGCTAAAATCCACACTGTACAACCATTCAGGTCAATAATGCCCACATTTGGGATGGTGCGTTCTGCAAGTCCGCTTGTTTTAGGTTTTTCTTCACTGTGTTTTGCTTCATAAATATGGTTACCCTGGACCATATACTCATGCAATAACATGAGTAAAGCAGAAAGAGATTGCAGCATCTCCCTGCTGCTTCTTTGTTTGACTAAATCAGGACCAGGCTGCTTTTTAAAATAAAGTTTCACGGTCATTCGCTGCATTCCTTTGGACACTTCAACACATTTTTAACCCCTTCTTCCAGTGGAGTACGGGAGTCCTTATCACTAACTCCTAGCCCTTGGGGTAGTGGACCATGAAGTTTTCTTCCTGAGTGTGCTAAATTTCATCCAACAGATAGTAGGGTAGTGGTGTTCTGCTGGTGAAGATGGTATATAGACACTTGATGTCCTATTCCAGATGCAGTTTGGTTATGGACTGGACGATTTCCACCAAAATGCATTTCACCCCTCTGTCTGGGCACCCTCCTTCCTACCTTCACCTCTATATCAGTTCCTGAGGGTACTGGTGTTGGTTAGAGCTGGCCCAGCCACATAAGTCCTCACATGTGAGTGACCCAGGTACTCTTCTCTTACCATGGACTGGACAATTCATTCCCAATGCTGCCTGGTTCTGAACTGGAGTTGAACAGCCACATTGTTGTGTGCCTTCCTATCATCGTTCTGATGTCAGTTCCTGGGGAGTACTGGTGCTGGTTGTGTCGGACATGAACACATGATGATGTGGGTCCTTAGAATGGACTATCTTATTCCCTTCCAGTTCCCATGTCCAAGATGAAAAGTAGAGGACCCTCTTTCTCCCATGAGCCAGATATTCTGACCATGGTACTGATTGTGTTGGTTGAGGTTGAACTCCTCTTTATGGTCTGCCGTGCCCTAGCCATTCTACACCAGGGTTCCCTTCATTTCATTTCTGTGGTCCCTGTTGTCACAGGCTCATTTGCATGCTTTCATGCAGCTGCCTCTTGTGAAAACGTATGAGAGTAGGTGGGAATGTCAAGCAAAATTTTATGCATATAGAGGAGAGTATAAGTCAGGAAAAGCTATTCTGTGAGCAAAAGTAAGAATCTATCGGAAATACATTTTCAGTGTAGGAAAATGTTATCTTTAAACTTAACCTCTAAAATATTAAAAATCAATAATGTAAATAGTAGGTTATTTAACATGGTAGTCACAGTCTGAATTTTTTTGTTGTCAATCTTATATGAGAGAATAATGTACATTTGCTAGGTCCAAAGAACATGTTTAATATGAGTGTATTCTGCCAAGAAATGTAATGTTTTCATTTGAAAGTAAATAAAAGTGATAATTTGATCAAAGCATTAGAAATAACATCACAAGGTATCTTAGTTGAAGTTTTAGGAATTAAAAAAACCATTAAGAAATGTTAATGGTGATTTTATTTAAGTTTAACTTTTGAGGAATAAAATGTTGGGAAAAGAACCATTATGAAGTATTAACTGTGATTTTATCCACGTTTAACTTTTGAGGACTAGAATGGAGGGAAAAGGACCATTAAGAAACAAATATTGATTTCAGGAATACTAATACACTGTTGAAGTAATATTTATAAGAGAGAATAACAATATTTCTGTGCTTATCTTTCAGTCTCTTTTTATCTTTCTGTTTTTGAGTTTTATGTTTATTTACAGGATTGTGATTTGTTCATAAATAAGATAATGGGACAATTTGTATAATTTTTTAGATTCATTCAAACAAGAGTTGGCAGAAGTCTATACAAAACCTGTTCAGAACATAGTTGCTCGTATTGCAGATCTAGTAGACATTGTTGCTATGAATTCTTATGATCTGACTCTAATTGCTCAAGGGCGTACTGATCTTGACAATCTTTACATGCTGGACAGTGAAGAAGAATGGTTAGACCTCCACTGGGCATTCTTCCAAGTTTTGTGTGATGTTGTAGCTGTAAAAGCTATACCATCTAGTGTTAAATGCCTCAGGTAATGCTTTTTTTTTAGTATATAGCAAATCACAGAATTGTAAGTATAACGTTGCTATTTGTTTTTAATTTTTTCATATTATCTTGTTGCAAAACATTGTTTAAGATTAGATTTCTTGTTAACCATTTCCTTCTTAACATAGTAAGCATATTACTACACTGAAACTTCAAAGTAGTGTTTTTTTATTTTCTAAACTGAACCTGTTTTCTCCAATAAACATTTTATAATGTATTTTCTATCTCATATAAAACTCAACATCATTTATGACACGGGCCCGGGTGAATGAAACCTGGTTATGCCGTAAATCCCGCAAAGCATCTTTAGGCTATATCTTCATTTAATGATAAAAACCATAGTTTTTGCTTTTCTTTGCATATAGACGCTTGATAGATTAAGAACAACTGAAATAATAATTTGAGTAATAATTAATATGTATTTGTTACTTTATAGATTTGTTGTTACTTTATTAACGATTTTACGCTTATACTGTGAGGTAAAAACGGCTGCTGCTATGATTTTGTCTGGTTTATGAGCTCGTTGCGGTCCTAATTTAGGATCTTCTTTTTAATAAATTCTTGAAAATGTTAAAAAAGAAAGAGAGAGAGAAAGGGGGCCCAGCGAGAATGTTTGCCCCGGAGCCCGTGCTGGCTCTTGACTTTCCTGTTTGTCAGACTGAGTAGAAAATGTCACAGAGTAGTGTTCTACTGCAGGTTCTTAGATATATTAAAACTTTTTTTAATATTATGAGTGTGCTATTTTGTTTATTTTAAACTTGTAGGTTTTTTTTGTTTCTGTACTCTCATGATTACCAAGGTATTATTAATTTTTTAGTGTTTTCTATTCATGATTAAAATGCTGAATTTTTTTTCCCATAATCTTTTTAAAACGAAAATATTTGTTCTTCCATATTTATAAGTAATTGTTTTGCTAAATACATCAAATGCACATAAGTAATTCGTGAATTTTACTGTCTTAAATTTGTTAAAAGATGAAAGAATTCAAGTCTCATTATTTTTTCAGTAATTTTAACTTTCATTCTACTACATCAAAATATTACCTCATTGAAATAAGCATTTCTTCTCTTATGTTTATGTTAAACATCTTATAACTGTTTGGGCACTTTGCAAGTTTGTGCACACGTCAATTTTAAGGTTCTTTGAAAATGATTGTAATTGTAATTTTTTTTAAATTAGGCTGCATCGGTCTTGTTTTGTTTTTTGTAAACTTATTTTTAAAGGTGATTAAAAAATGTGTACTGAAATTTCTCATGGTGTAAATTAAAGTATCTAAAGGTTGTGTGAGATCAGTATAAAATGTTCATCTGCAAAAACAGGAATTTTTAGCAGAATTTCAGCAAACCTTTATAAAAAATTTATACTTTTAAATTTCACTATATTAAGAAAAATAAGTATTCTCAAACGTAACTTTAGTAACTTTAAACTACTTTTCAGACAGCTGTTCAGTTCTTTTTTATTTGTATTTCAGCTTATCACCAAATCTTTTGAAAACATCTGCTAAAGACATAATAGGAGAAATGACGTGGGACGAGAGATCAACAGCAGACATAGTATTTCAACTCTTATCTTTACCACTACGAAGAGTGAAAGATTACATTAGACTTTTCACCAGACTTACAACCACATCTCCCAAAGTGAGTCATCATTTATAATTATTTCAGTGTAAATGGTACTCATTAGCTTTGTATTCCTTTTGATGTTTATGGACTTTGGTATACCTGTTAATATAATAAGGTTTTAAAGTATATTTGGACTTTTCTTTCAGTAAAATGTGCCTAAAAGATAACTTTTTCAAAATTCAAGATAGACAAATGTACAGGATATAGTGGAGCTTTTTAGTAACTTTTTATTAATTATCTGATAAATAATTTGAGGTCACTGTTTTGGCAAAAAAAGATGACATATTTCCCAAATCCTGAGTACAGTTTTGTGATCATCTATTATGAAAATAGTGATTTTCATAAGTTTTAAGAGTCTCTATGTTATCCAATTCCAATTTGATGTACACAAAAGTATATCTCAAATATAATACACACCATTTAAAAAATCTACTGTGGAAATATTTTAGTTATCGTCTATCAAAGTCTAAAAGAATTGACTGTATTAGTTTGCCTTTTCTTGTATCAGTACTTTTGTGATAAGGCTTCCAAGAATATATTTCTGTCAAATAGATTTCTGGAAGACTTGTTTCTTCTGTGCAGTCTTAATCAGTTGATAAATTATTCTAGTATGCTCATATGCAATGTTTAAAATTGTTTAGATTTTTCTAAATATTTGTAATTTGTTTTCAGAGTGATACAGGAAGTCTGCTGGGGTTTTAATGTAGTAAGTTGAACACCAGAAATACAGATAAAAGAGTATTATAGTCAAGCCTGAGTAGGCTACAAGCAACATCACATAAAAATATTTTCAACATTAGTTTGTATACACTAGTGTTATTTTGATTAAGATAATCATCTATACATTATTTTTAATAGTACTTGTATGGGAAAGATATTCAGCACACAGTTCAAAAATGGAAACAGTTGTCAGAATATGTGGATCGAAACATGAAACAAGCAGAGGAGACCAAGACTTTTTGGGATAATGCTCCTCAGAAACTTGTGGTGAGTTATAATTTAATCCTTTTCTTGTTAGTGTAAAGCACGGCTAACTAAACACACACAGGTTATCTATTCTAAGATCAGCCAATTTATGTTATTAATTGATTGGTGATTGTGAGAAAGATAACATTCACATTCTGTGGTGTTAGATTCATAAAGCAATATCAACACAGATGTTTTGATATCTTATACTGTGAAAAGATAATGATTTTACTTGAGTTATCAGGATGAACTATTGTGTATGCTTATATTAGTTACTGAATCTGTGAGCTAGTAACAGATACAGTGAAAATTAAAAACTAAAGTAATTTTATAACATTACTGTTGAGGCAAATGGTTTCTGAATGTTGTCTTTTTGCTTTATTTACTCAAATTATCTGTTTGATAATTTATCAAAAACACCGGGCCCAACAGTGTGATAACATTCACAAAGAAAAATTGTGCTTTTATTATTAAAAAACAATAATGGTAAGGGATTTTTTTCTAGTTTCTTTACAAACAGGTAAGCATTTTTATTTCAAATATACAAAAACTTACTAACAATAGATATTTTTGTTACAATGTAATTTTTTTGCTAAAGATGCAACTAAATAATTAGCATACTATTTTGGAAGGGCTGGGCACCACTTAATAGTTAGCTTACGAGACTGTGAATCTTAGAGTCCATGATTCACATCCTGTTGCTGCAAAATCACATTCCTCATTTTTGGGAATGTGGTGACATTATAAGAGTAAAAGTCAAATTCTACTATTCAATTAGAGTAGTCTTAAGAGTTGGTGGTGGTTACTGTTGGCTAGCTGCCTTCCCACCAGTCTTATCAAGTCAACATTTGTGACAACTAGTCCAGATATCCCATGTGTTGCTTTGAACAATACTCTTTGGGAATGACAAAACTTCACTGGCAGATCCTATAGCTCTATAATTGAACTATAAATAATTCCATAGATAAATCCACCGTGTAGCCAAAGATCATTCATGGAATTATTTATAGTTCAATTATACGGTCATAGTTTCTGTCAGTAAAGCTTTGTCATTCCTCTGTGCCTTCACAGTGGATTAGCCGATGCTTCAACTTCCATGTTAGTGAGTTTCAATGTAAACTTAGAATTTTAACCTTGATAATACAGTGTGTGTTATCATATTTGAAAAAAAAACAAAACAGACTGAACATCATATTAAATAAAAAGGTTTTTATTAACCCATAAGGTTTCCAGTCTTTGTTAGGCAGCAGTAAACTGAAAGAATATTTAAAGATAATGGAATGCAACTGTGTGTGTGTGTAAACCATAAAATACACAATATTGTTAATGTAAGCAAAAATATGTGGGTGGTCTCAGTAACAATATGATTGTGTATCTTTGCTCTGTTGGCTTAGTTGGCATGATGATGTGTCATGATGGATGTTTAACAACCAATCAGATACAAGTTAAATGTTTGGCATTATTGCTTAGGTTTTCATCACAAACTCCATTTTTTCAGTGGGATAAGACCCAGTGACTAAATGTTTGACTTTGTAATCCTTAAGGCTTTAGAGCAATACCAGTGGATACAGGACCATCACCTTTCACACATGTACGTTAATGTTTTTGAGTTGAGACTAAAACTCTCTTTCAAATCTAGTAATTTTGCTGCTGCTTATGGTAACAGTATAGAATTTTCCAATAAAGGTGGTGAATACATTTTTAAAGTTTTTTAAAGCAAGAATGTCACTTAGTTGTTGTCAGATATGAATATGTTTTGATATTTACAGCTTATGTAAAAACATTTACTTATATTTATTATAGATTTGCTTCATTGTGATGGTTGGATGTCATCTTTTCAAAATTTTATTTTTTTACTATATAGAACACGTCATGAAACAGAAAAATATGGTATTTTTTACCAGAATGTAGTTGGTTGAGTTTTTATTTCAAACGTTAAGAAATTTTAATGATATTATTTTCTTACAATTTCAGGATACTTTTCGTCTTGCATCTCGTAGGCTTGTGCGAGAAAGCAAATCTCATGCATTATCTCTTGTGTCATCTGGAAGGTTTTCTACACATTCATTCATTTTGTTTAGTGATGTTTTAGTTCATAGCTATGTAAGTACTTTATTTTTTTAACTCTCTTGAGCCTTTTAATGAATTATTGGTAAATTAATAGATTCTACTTTGAAACTGTTTCAGAATTTCCTGTTTTTACACTTAAGTAAAATTGTACCAAAGAAAATATTTTTATTACAAACATTGAATTATTTATTGCCTGTTATAAACTATTTAACATGTGAAAAGAACAAATTCTATGAAATATGTAAATGGAAAGCCCCATATCTTATAAAAAAAAAATTGCTGGAAATTTAGGTTCTGCAATTTAAACACAGAAAACCTACAAGTTATGTTAATTAAAAGCTCAAAATCCATAAGTCCCATAAATTTAAAGCTGAAAGTCAACAAGTTATGTCAATTGAACACTGTAAACTAAAGCTTAAAGCCCAAAGCTCTTGAAAATTGTAAGCAGAAGGCTCACAAGTTCTGAAAATAGAAGAGCATCCACATGTTATGTTAATTTAAAGCTGAAAACCTGCATGTCCTTGAAATTGAAAGCTGAAACACACTAGTAATTTATGTCACTATATTTTTTGAATCAAATACTTTTGTTACCTTTTTGATGTATAAATGATCATCAAGGTAGTTGTTTTATTTTTAGTTTGGAGGTTTCCAGAGTCATGCATTAGAGACTGTTTGGGTAGAGCCACTACAGGATACAGAAGTTTCCCAGTAAGCATTATTTTTAATGATAATTTATACATGAAAATAAGGCTTTTTAGCCCTGTTTACTGTAGTTGTGAATTACTTTTCTGGTACAAATCATGTTCTCTTCCGTAGAATATAATGATTAAATTTAATGTTTAATATAAAATTATGCTTTAATATAACATTAAGAAATTTCATTACAGCTTATAAACTTACTAGTGATTTTTCCCTAACAGTAATTTTTTGTTAGTGGAAGTTTTTTTTATTGATGATATTTAAATCATTAATTTGTATTTTTTTTAACATAGCTGTATATAGGTTTTTAAAATGATTTTTCTTTCTTTATCTCACATTCTTTGGTATTTAGAAACAAGCTTGGACAATACTGTAAAATTAACTTTTAGTTTCCATGCATACTATACATATCATTTTACCAATGAAACTGTTAAATAATTTTGTTATACTTGTTTACTTTAGCTAATAACTGATTCATAGAACAATATTTATTTTTAAAATTGAAGCGTAATTTGTACAAGTAAAAATATTTATATTTGTTGCTTTCTGTATAGTATTGTTTTACCTGGAGTACAGTACATTAGGATTTATTCAAGTAAATTTTATATATTGTTTCATTTTTTTTTTAGAAATGCTTTTGTGTTGACAATGCCAGAGGATACACTCAATCTAACCTGCTCTACCTCTAGTGAAAAGGTTGGTATTTAGTTAGTTTTATGAAAATATTATGTGAACTTTCAACTATTTTAAAATAAAAATGTTAATATTCATGAAAAAAAAATGTTTGTGTTATTCAGAAGATATGAAGATATTATCCATTAGAAATCCTCGATATTCTGTTTATGAGAGAATTGAGGTCATTACACACATCAGAATGTGTGATTATTAATACATATAAAAAAATAAACCCTATATGTATTATCCTTGATTTTACTGCACATAAGGGAAAAAACATCAGAAAAGAAAACGTTTGATGTGTTTCAATTTAAGAATAAAAGATTAATCCGTATATTTTGTGGTGTATATTTAAGAATGAAAATACTGTTTGTATAATTGAAAGCTCTTATCTGAGTTGATCTCATTATCACAGCTGTTTTTTATATCAAGAAATTAGACATTTGGAGGAAATCACCTTAAAAAACTATGGTTGCATTTTATTTTCTTGGCAACATTTCTAGCAAATGCTCTTTTTTCAAGCCAGAAACAAGCCTTCAGGTAATAGATTGTTTCTGGCTTGAAAAAAAAAGACATTTGCTTGAAACATCACCAAGAAAATAAAATACAACCTTAATTTTTTAAGGTGATTTATCTCAAAAGTCAAATTTCTTTATTTCATGACTTTCACATTTTTCTTACTTTGTTATTTATATTAGTTGTATTTTGCACACACACACACACACACACACACACATATATATATATATATAATGTATGTATTTAACTATGATCAATATATTAGAAATATAAAATAACCTCACTGAAGCAATTGATATTTTAATACTTTGTCACTTATATTTTAGAGTTTCTTAACTTAGTCTTCATTTTGCTTTTTTAGACTGGCTGGATCTGTGCCTTGAACCATGCTATAAAGAAAACACTTGATGGTCACATAGGCTTAGCAACAAGAAGTAATCATATAAGCATGCAACGTCTCACACCTCCTTTGGCAAGACAAGCAACTTACACTTTTGTGAAACACTCTACTTACAAGGATGCCACTTATACTGGGATGTGGTTTTGTGGCAAGATACATGGTCCGTGAGTATCTTTTGGAAAGTGATAAAGCAGGACAAAACATGTGAGAGGTTTCAGTGTTATGTCTGAAGAGTTTTTAAGCTTGTTCATTGTGTTTACAAGGTGTTTCAGGATGTCAGTAAGTTGGGATTAGCACTTGGGCTTTTACATATGATGCTGTAAAATAATTAACTTATAAGCAAATTAATTTTTTGTACTTCATTTTGAAATAATTCTGTAGCATGATGTACAAGCAGTTTTAAATGGATCTGTAGTACATTGATTAAAAATAGATTAATGCTCAGAAAATGTATGAAGACTTTCAAAAATCTTCATTGTTTTAAAAATTTTTTGCTAAAACTTATGTATTGAATGTCCATTAGTATGTTCATGCACTAATTTGCAATTCTGATACTTGTATGTTTTATGGATTGAAAGATCATTACAACGAGTCTGGTAGATTTAACTATTGTGGGTGTGAGATTTAGAGATATTAGTGAGAAATGAAAAAAATCATGAATAGCAAAATTAGTCACTGAAAAATTAAATTTAATTTGTGAAATATGTCTGTCCAGGAATGGTGGGGTTAGTGTGCTCAGACTGTGAATCTGAAGTTTCATGGTTCACATCCCATGTTATACATTTTGGGGCAGTGGGTGCTATATAAGAGTGACAGTTAACTCTCACTGGTCGATCAGATAAGAGTAACCCAAGAGTTGGTAGTGGGTGCTTTTTGATAAGTTGCTTTCCATGTGGTCTGTCAATTCAAATTTAGAGACTAATTTGTACAACCTTGTGTAGCTTTGCACAAATATTCTAATAAACATAGAAATTGTTAAATATTTCAATTTTTGTTTCATTCAGTCTTTCCCCACTTGTTGAGTTTTTAGAGTATGATTTTAAATGACCAAATAAAGAACTATTATTCTTTCTAGAGGTGAAAAAGCTCAAGTGACTTTAGGGATAAAATATTTTACTTGATATGTTCATGTGTTTCTTTAGAGGCAAGTTGATGTTTGCTGATGGGAAAACCTATGTTGGAAAATTCAAACACAATGTTCAAGATGGTGAAGGAACATACACAATACCATCAGATGATGGTAGAGAGACGGTTTATGAAGGCATGTGGAAAGAAGGCAAGCTGAATGGACTTGGTTGTGTTAAGTATGTGAGAAAAAACAGCTTTTAACTATGATCTTCTTGTCATTGAGGAGAGAACAATAAAAAAAAATAAAAAACGAAAATTGTATTTTAATGTCTTTTAAGAGTTTCATTACAAAAAATTGAAGGAGAGATAAATATAGTGACATATGGTAACCTAGTGATATTCGTGATGATGCTGTGCTAACAGATACAGTTAAACATTTTTGACTAAAATGTATATATATACTATAAAATATTCGTTTTAACAGCATTTTCTTATGGTTGGTATGACCACAATGTTAGATTACAATGAAAGAAAAATATGTAACAGACCCTTTAAGTAAATATTTCCTAAGTTTAAATTGAAAGAGCTAAAATCAGGTGTTTTAAATAAAAATTTCCATATTTTGAGAAAGGACTTTGTATGATAATTGTACTTTTTTTTATTAATATCAAATAGCCTTGGTTATAGGAATAAAATGTATGGTTGATTTCTAATAAAACAGCTTTTTTTTAAATTAATTTTATTTATCCTTTGTGTTGAAGCTGGTAAACAGAAGCATTATGAAAAAAATTTTTTTATGGAGATATATCATATTTTATTACAATGTTACAACCCTCCAGTGGGTATTACATTCACTCAAATGTAAGAAATAACATTGATGTTAGAATTGTTATTCTTTAAGCTCTCTCTTTATAGCAAACGTAAACAATAAACATATAGCCTGTAAACAATACATTTATCAATTTCTTTTTTAATTTTGCCCATCCCTAAGTATAGATTTATATTTGTTAAGAAACTATCATCCCTTAAACTTAGTGATTCATGTCTTATTTCTCTGATGGTTTTTATTCTCTGTAGTCATTTCAGGGGCTCAGTAATAAGTCTGAGGGCTTATAATGATTAAAATTGGGTTTTGATACCTGTGGTGGGCAGAGCAGAGATAGCCTATTTTAAGCTTAACAAAAGACAAAAGAACAAATCTATCTACATCAGTATAGAGTAAATAAGTATTTTTAACACTAATTGGTTGAAATATTGGCTACTCAAAGCTTTATTTGTGTGAACAAAGGATTCTTGTGTGAAGTTTATAACAGTTGGAGACAAATCATTGATTTGAAATTTGTTTTATAATTTCTTTTGAAATTGTTTTCACTCCTTGAAAATATGAATATACTAAACTATATCTGTTTGAAAACTACAAAAATTTTCTTCTATGACAAAACATCAGATAAGTTTGGTTAGGTTTAGTGAGTAGGCGACAGCAAAATATTCCAGTCAGTCAAATCCATATTTATTTAATATTATTTTCAAGTTTATTATTCTTTATTGAAAACAAACTATGTTTATTAGACATAAAATGACATTGACTAAGAATATTGTTGGCAAAAGTCAGTACTTAACCTGACAAAGGTAAAAGTGATGTCATATTCAAATATGAGGTCCTTGGTCACTGATAAATCTTTGTCTATTTTTGCTGTAATGTTTATTGCGTACAGTCAGAATGTGATGACTGTTTCATTTGGTAAAATAAAGTATCAAAAGAAATATGTTATTGAATATCAAGCAAGTTGAAACTGTCTGGATATATAAAATGCAACTTTCTGATTAGTAATAAACAAATTGTAATTCCAAGATGGAAGGAAATATTTTGAATGTTTTATTTTTAAAGAGTGTCTCACTAGATACTATTTAGAAGGTTTTTGCTAAGTTTCATGTAATTTGGTTAATCATTCCACTGTTAGGAGGAATAAAATCATGCGTTATCAGTTCTATCTTCTAGCAGAGAAAGGGTTAAAGGTTCAATTTGCATTTCAGAATAATAACAGTACTTCATTGAATGTAAAGTAATTTTTGTAAAGTGAAGTATTATCTTGTACAGTTTTTTTAAAATCATAAGTTGAGCCCTCAATATTTCTTAAAAAACAAACTTGATGATAATATAAGAAATATTAACTACTTGGATGAAGTCAGATAGGCATGTCTGCTGAAGACTTTTCAGAGGAGTCCCTGCTCTTGACAAATCAAGCTGAAATTTTCATAAAGGAGCATGAATTATTACAAGAGTAAATGTAAATGCAAGGGAGGAGAATTCGTCTGGAAAATATGTTTTTTTAATGTATATTGTGCTTTAAGTCTCGCTGAGGGGCAAACTGGGCTGAGTGTTTGTAACTTTATTATAGTAAAAGTTTGATGTGATAAATCCTAGAGATATTTATAGTTAGATAAAACATTTCTTGAATAATATAGCATATAGAAATAATTTGAATACGTGTCTGAAGAACTACCAATGTAGTTGAAAAAAAATGGCCTAGTGATAACATATAATTCAGATAGGAGGACATGACAGGTTGTTTGTGCAAAATATTTCTGAGTTATTTTAAGGTTTACTGTTTAGTGGTGTTTAAATACACTGACATTTTTTTAACATACTTGATGGAGAAAAAAGTAAGTGTGAGAGAAGGTATCAAAGTCAACTTAAACATAATTTACTAAAATTGTTTAAACTGGAATTAAATCAGTAATGTGTTTGTCATTTTGTTAAAGTTTTTTTAATCACAACTGAACATTTAGTTTTTCAACCATATTTGTTATTCAGGTATCCTAATGGAGATTCTTATGAAGGGTACTTCAAAGATGGCATGCGTCATGGACATGGCATTTTAAAGCAAGGAAAGTTTTTGTCTTCTCCATCCACCATCTATATTGGTCAGTGGTCATGGAACCGACGAGAAGGTTATGGAGTTTTGGATAGCATTCGCGGAGGTAAGATAAACATTTAATAACCCTATGAATAAAATTCTTTGATTAAATTTTGAATGTAACTGTTAAACATCTGCATCTTAACCTCATCATTGAGTCAACGTATATGAATAAGCTTGGTATCAAAACATAATTTGATAGTCAAATTTTTATTATCTAAGTTTTAATTTCTTGATTTGAAAAGGAAATATTTAAATATATTATCAGTCTGTATTTTTTTCAGTTGATGCCTCTGTGATCCAAATTGATTATTTTACTTTTTCTCTACCCCTATATGATTTTCTGAATGTCCAACAAATGCAAAACAAATAATATACATATTGACAAACCAGAATGTAAATTTAGATACCACAATTTTGCTTTACTGGGATATAAAAACAAATGTCAAACCCACATGACACACATCCAAAAAAATGTCATTCTCTCTCTCTCTCTGACTTTTATATTGGATTATTCATAACCAATAGAAAGGACAGTTTTTTCTTCATAAGATATTTTATACCACTTGTAAGTAGATTGTTTACGATCACTGTGTTCAGCTTCTAGCAGTTAACAGAATTATTTTAATCTATTTATTGCTTAGTTAAAAAGTCAGTATAATTATAGTAGCTTTGGGACACACTATTCTAGTTCTAGTGCTTGATATATTTTTTTATCTCCAAAAATGCGTATTTGAAAGGAATGTTAATGATTTTGTGTAGAATTAATATAGTATGAAAAAAACTAGTGCTAAAGAAGTACACTTTTGATAACAAATTGCTGAAAGAAGCTTCATCTCTAATGTAAGTCCAAAATTTCTTGTATTTAAGTATATATTTATTTATTATATTTTTTTTACAAAAGTAACTAAAATTAAAAAATTAGATATTTGTTAGGCTATATCACAAAAGATAAATACAAAAAATGAAAGAAAACATTTCTTAAGAAGAGCATGAGCTAAATACATCATGTGATTTTAACCTGATTGGTTGTTTACACAAAGTTCTACCCCTGTGGTAAACTGACTGTAACATACTTTAGAGAACTAAAGGGTATTATAAATTAAATTTAAAGCAAACTTATTGTGTGAAAAATTTAAAAAGCTGAAGCTATTTTAGTAAATAATTGCAATTGTCTGGTGTAACCTTCAGTCATTCTAGAAAGAAAAAAAAGGTAATATTAATTTTATTTCACATTTTTATTTGTTTTCTTCACTGTACATTGATGATTTCACTGCATTTAGTGCTAGGGTAGAGCATATAAAGAAATGAAGTATAAAGTTATACTAACAAAAGTTATATAAATGAAATATAAAAACTGTAAGGTGAAAATAAATGTTTATTCTTGGCATGAAAAATTTCTCTCATTCAAATTGACTCACCAAAAGGCTTCATAAATTTACACGTAAAGTTTAATAGAAATACTTCAAAAATCTGATATTTTTATATACAACAAACTTATAATGTTTAATGAAAGCTTGCCCAATTTTGTGATGATATATTTAGTACATTTAGAGTTATGTACTTATGATATTTATAACAGGTTTAAATGATAACCGAGTTCCTGTACATTGTGTCATTTGATTTTTTAATAGATGTAAAATAATCTCAGAACACAAAACAAATTGTTTATGTTTGTGTGTATATATAACACTGTGTTTAGTGTCCTGAGGTGTGTGTATGTTTCTATATATATATATATATATTAATGGTAGAATAAGTTTCATGTTAGTAGCTATTGAAAGTGACTTGGTAGTGTATCTTAAATATAATTCAAGAAGCATTACATGCACCACACATTTGAAGTTGTTTTGGTGTCATCTTTGGATAATTTCCTGATGAAAGGTTGCATGGTGAGTTATACCCCTGTATGTATGTATGTGTATTTTAATATTCAACAGCATTACATTTTTACAGCATTTTTTTCATGTAAAAAGTACCAAATAAACTTTATAGAAGAAACCTAATTCTTGGAAACTTTTACATCATATTTTGTATTTTGCTGACTTTAATTTATTATGAAGTTCTTTTAATTCAAGAATGAACTATAAATTGATAGGTGAAAAGTACATGGGTATGTGGCATGAAGATTTTCGGCATGGCAGGGGCTTGGTTGTTACAATTGATGGCATTTATTATGAAGGAACATTCAACTTAGACAAACTTTCTGTAAGTTGACATTTTGTTTGTATTTCTTTTTGGAATCACTCTAGGCAACATCTAAATGATTGATATTTTCTCTTCACTGCAAAAGTATTTTTGTTGTTTCAAAATTTTATATTTAGGACACATTTTTATATAAATACATTATCATCAAGTTTATTTATCCCCATAAAGCATGAAGAGAATCTAGATAAATAATGTCTTTAGGCTTTTGTAAATTTAGATCTTTATAAACATTTCCAACAAATACACTGTAACTTTCTGCACAGTATCCAGTTTAATAATAGGACTTAATCCGGATGAGTGTTCTGTTAAGTATACCTTTATGTACGGAAATGTAATGGATTTTGCATTAGACATGACAGAAACAATAAACATTGACAAAAAAAGGGTTGTATCTAAATTTTTTAAAGTTTTTATTAAGAATTTCTTTTCTTATTTTTGTTAATATATTTTTTGGTGTAATGAACCCTAGAAAAGTATGAAAGGAAATATTTTTGTTGCATTATACTGCAGCATTATTCTTAACTAAATTTCTAAATGTAATAAAAGAATAAAACTTTGTTTCTAGATTGTTTTGTACAATTGTTTTTTACTATATTTTGTTAAATAATTGTCTTTATTTTTTTTATAGGATTTGTACGTGTATATATATTATGTAAACGTTGTAGTCTGTGAAAATGTAATACTTTTCAACTTTATACTCCAATGAAAGTAATTTTATTTATAGTACATTTAGTTTGTTAATATTTTTTTTGTAATTTCCAAAGTTTTAAGAAAAGGAAAGGATTAATATGGATTGACTGATTTCTGTTAACTTTTGAGAGGAAAATATTAATCTTTGCTCAACTTGGAAGATACTAACTTATCTACAGTCCTGTATTAACTTTATACAAACAATAGGTATAAATTGGTTATGAAGTGATGTAATGAATTTATTTTTTAATTAACAACTTGTACAGTTTTATTTAGTTTTGTGTTTTTCCTGTAGTATATATGTGTATATATTTTGATGCCATTATATTCACTTTTACTGCTAATATTATAAAAGAGTGATAATAAGTTCTATCACATGTGCCACTGATTTCAGGGATTTGGAAAGATGATTTTTGAGGACAATACTTGTTATGAAGGTGAACTGGGACCTGGTGGGATATTTAATGGGAAGGTAAGAACTAAGATACAGTAATAACATATGTAATTAATATTACTACACAATAGTATGTAATTTAGAAAGGATTGTAAGGTGTAAGTAAAATTGTCAGAATTTGTGTTTAGTAATAATAGTTTATATTTGTTCTCTAATAGTGAATAAGGGTATAAAACAGGCTCTATTCTTTTTTTGTGGGTGCACTTCTCTCTGTTTTTAAAATCTTTAAAATATTAAAATATGAGAATAAAATACTTGCTCAATTTCTTATTGTTTTCAGATGATTAAAAGTTAAATGCAGACTTGTTTTTGTAGAATTTAAAATCTTGCTTAGGTGCTAAACTAAATCAGTTGCGATGATAGTTTAATTTTTTCTTTATATATTTTAAGTGAAATTAAGTTGCTGAACCAACTTAAATACCATGATATTTGAGTTTGCTATGTTATAAAAAAAAATGCTTGCGAGTTGCTATACCAACATAACTAATGATAATTTGGTTTATTTTGCCATTTGATATTGAGTTTATTGTTATATCATTGTAACTGCTAAGATATAGGTATGATTATTTAACACTGAGTTTGGGTACAGGTTATATTAATTGGTGTGATCAATTGACTATATAATAATAATTTATAGTTTTTTGTATTTTTATAATGTCTTTGTTGTTAGATGGGTCTAATAATTTTATCATTGAATGTTTAAAATCTGATTACAAACGAATTTTTTGTTTAAATTATTACACTTCCAAAATTGTTAAGAATTGTAGTTAAAAGTATGATTTTGGACTCATTTTTAGTGGCAGTTGTGTGTCTTGTTGAAAGTATGAGCCCCTATTGTGCAGTATGTTGTGAAAGATAATTTAGAGAATGCATTTTTTTTTATAATTCTTTTACATTCAAACTATATTTCTGAAATAATTTATAGCTCTTATGTTTCTTGCTAATTGTTACAAGGATCATTCAATAAGTTTTTATCAACTGGAATACAGATTAGTTACTATGGTTCATAAAACATATTCATCATTATTCTTATGCACAGGGAACCCTATACATGTCTAACGGAGACAAGATAGAGGGAACGTTCAGTGGATCATGGAGTGAAGCCATCAAGCTAAGTGGTTTATATCATAAATCTCCAGGCACACCTTCAATCTCTCCAGAGATTGATCAAAGGAAACATTTTGGGTAAGATCCTTATAAGTGAAAAATGAAATAATTATTGTTACATTAAAGTATGATACAGATATAAGGGAAAAAGTTTATATTCTCAAATTGTAAGCCCAAATGTAGTAACAAAATAAGATAAGTACTTTAGTTTTATTCTATTTCAAGTCTCATGAGACTTGCTGGATTAGTGAAAAGGAAAGTAGAATTTTGTATTTCTGCACTGTGAACAAAGCTTATCATATATTTTGTGTTTGTATGTACACACACTACCTTACGTAGAAAGTTCCAGCTAGATCAGCTCTATTATTTTTATTGAGCCCTTTCTTTTGTTAGCATATCATAACAAATATTACTGCACATTAACTGTAATAAAACCATTACATTCTGGAAACAGAAACTCATCTAGGCCAAGGCATTAGCATTCAGTGTTGTTGTTAAAAAAAAAACAACAACAACTTAAGATATGCTGTACATAACAGATCATCAAGCTAGTCAAATTAGACTGCATAGATATTAAAAAATGTAGTGCTGACTGTATTTGCAATTTTGTTTCATTTACAGAACAAAGTATTGTATTTATATAGTTTTGTTAACACTTAAAAATGCTTCAGTAAAAAGACTTTGTTCTTTCCATGACTTTTTTATAGGTGTCCTACTGAATGCAGAATTTTTTAAAGATAGTTTTAAGGAGTTATCAAATATACTTGCATTATATCAAGACATGCTTGATTTGAGTTGTTGTAGGAACAGGTCAAGACAATACACGTTTTGATGAATAGAAACAATTGACCCATATAATTCAGAGCATTGTTCTATCTACAATAAACAATACAAAGAGCACGAGCTGATAAAAAAACAAACTATTTTTGGACATTTCAAAACAATAAAACAAGTCATGAGAGAAAAACATTAAAAAACTAACATCTTTTTCTTTTCAGTCATTTATGTTTTTTATTCTCCTTTTTTTGAATATTTACTTAATTTTTTAGGCAGTTAAAATTAATAAAATATTTTTTTATGAGCTTGTATTTTGTTTTTGTTTGTCATAGACAAGCCAGTATTATTAAGTTGTCCCTTACAATTGGAAAGTATTGTCTTTATATGTTAAATTATAATTTTGTGTCAATAAACATGCAGATTAATAGAAAGTTATTGGGTTTGACCTCAGAGTTTACTCATTGTAGTAGTTTTTCAATTAAAACTTGTATTGTAAATATATCCAACAATTTTTGAGATGTATCTGAAATAACTTGCTTATTTTTAGCTTTTTGACAGCTGTTGTTTAAAAAAACAACAAAGAATTTACAAAGAGGATAATGATTAAGTTGAAATTAATAAGAATGGCATTTGTATAAGTTAATATGCAAGAATACTGAGGACTTTGGATATTAACTCCAAACAAAATTCACAATCTATATTAAAATTACAGTCCTTTTCTGTAAAGTTAGATGTGGTACATAGTTTATATTCTTAGATATTTGTTAAGTCAGTTGCAGTTTGGAAAGTTTTCAATGAGATTCATTATTTAGTATGTAATAAACACTCAAATGTTTTCTCTCCAGCAACCAGCCACTCTGTGTGACAGCTGAACAGAAGTGGGAAGATATATTTGACCAGTGTAGAGAAATATTATGCATTCAAGGGGCTAATGCTGCTGTTGACAATAAACGAGCTTGGGAAGCTGTGGCTGTTGCTGTCAACAAAAGAAAGAAAGAAGTCCAGTCAAAGAAAAAGTATACTAATGTTACTTTGTTTTATTAAAAATAACTATGATATTTTATAACTTTAACAAATGAAAATCTGAAAACATACCACTGGTCAATTTATACTTTCCAAGACACATGGTAGTGTGTCATACATCCAAAACAACCTGCAGGACACTGTGCACTATTAACTATCTCACTATGGGCTCGATCACAGCAACCAACTTTGTAATCATTTTGTGCCTGTTATAGTTTTCATACTATAACTTTTAATACTGTTTGGGTATCTTCACAAAATTTTGTAGATAATCAGTAAACATTACAAGACTTTCAAACACAAAGTATCAGATTTTTTATTAAGTTTAGTGATTTTTTAAGTATTGATTTGCTTGTGCATTATTTCTTTTTGAATATTGACTATCCAACATGTAAAGTAATTTTGATTTTCAGATTAGAAATACTTTTATGCATCAGAAAATTGTAAAATTTCACATGCAAAATATTTATGACTTCCTAATAACCTCCAGATAACTATCAAACGTTTTTTTTTATAGAAAAACTTTATATTTTATCTGTTATTTTCACTATCATATGTCTATATGGGTTTAGTCAATTTGACTGACCTCGTAACCACCATAAAAAATTAGGAAATAGATATAAATTACACTT